GTCTTTATTTTACAGTTAAAATATATGTTTATCAAATAAAGTCTAATGTTACAACTAATCAGGGAACCCTTCAAGATTTGTAATTGTAAAAAATTGTCCTTTTTTGTATTTTTTAAATTTTTTTAGAGACTGAGATCAATAAAATTTTCTACATACTTTATTTTCTTTGTTATGTTGATTTAAAAAACCCTGTCAGGCTAAAACGTTTTAGACAACTTATGGACATTTTGTTGTGAATAAATGACTCTTACAGGTTATGTATTCGATCTAATCGTTAGCATTAGTATTTACGTCCAAATGAGGGTACCACTAGATTTCTTTAATTTTATCTTCAATGTAGACATTTTCAGTGTTGGACAAAATAATAAGTTGTGTAAAATGTTATAGGGTGACAGGGCCTTTAGTCTCAAAAATGAACATCTCAAACCTGGAAACAGAAAATCATTTCTGAAGGACTCAAACTGTCAGGTTTAATTGGGAACTATGTCTAAATGTTCTGTAGGTGTGGGTGAGAATGTGAACTTCTTAGTGTTTACTGAGTGTAAAAACTGAATCCAGGTTTATTTCTATCATCATCTCCCCCTCCTGCACCACTTTGACTCTATAAAGGAAAGAAGAATGAGCCCATTTCCTCTGAGAAACCTGATCACACTGTTGTATTTTGTAATTTGAAAAAAGAAAAAGAAAACTGGCTTGAGTCCCAGCGGGAGAGTTTGTAATAAATCATGACGTGCTGATGTGTGCCCTCAATTTGTCCTTCATAAATGATATGGAAGAGAAACAAGAGCATCTTCCAGGGACATGCTCTGCTGAGTGAGAAGGTGATTCTCATTCCGACTTTTACATTTCCCACCGGGATATTTAGGGAAGCTTGGGGAATAATACCAGAGGAGAGAAATTTATGTACTTCTATTTTTGATGTTAATTAGTACCGAGCTACATGTTGATTCAAGTGACACACTGATGAAGGGATTTCATTCATCTGTGTATGAATTGTGATGGTCTAGCTTGTAAAAAATAAATGTATGGCATTGTGTGAGCGGCAGAAGATTTTAATTTGATCTCGAATCGTTGAGTTCCCGAGGTGTTGCTGGTTTATGATTGTAATAAATGTTAGAAAATACTTATATTCTCACTCATAAACCTATAAATATGTGAGTGGGTGGGACAGTGTCTTTTAGGGCTGTGTATTTACAAATAATTGGTTATATGATAAAAATGACACATGTCGTGATATATATAATTATATCGTGATATATTGAGATACTGCAAGCAAAGCGATATATTGCCATTTTTTCTTCAATAGATTCTAATTTTAAAAAACAGTATAAAGAGCACAACATGCATAAAAAATTAAAGTAAAGATCGTGTTAGATGGGCATATGGTATCGCATCCTATCGATCATAGACTTGTAATTGAGTTGAATCTAAATCACCATGACAGACTTGATGAAGAAACGTCATCCAATTATCCAAACATCAAAATATTATCATATGGTGGTAAAGCTGGTGATTTACACTCCTAATTTTAAGATATAATTAAAAATGTACACAATGCTTTTGAGAATCAGTATCAGGAAATGAAATACTGCAATATTTCAGTGTATCGATATTTTCTTACACCCCATAATGTCTTGCCCAAGGACACTTTGGCCCGCTGCAGGAGCTAGGGATAAAACACACCAACCCTTCGACTGACAACCAGAGTAGTCGAAAATAAAACATGTTCTGACTACAAATAATTCTGACTACAAATAATTCTACAAATAATACAGCTCTTTATGAGCTGTATACTTTCATCAAAGCAAGCCTTTAAGATAAGATAAGATAGACCTTTATTGTCATTGTACAGAGCACAATGAAATTACAGTTCAGAACACCCATTCAGAAGAAGACAGAACATAACAAACATAGGAGAACAGGTGCCCTGCCATGCAGCTACAGACCCTGCACAGAGCAAGGATTATCAACATGAAGATATCATGAGGAGGCGCAACCCTTAAAAGAAAAACTAAAAACCACACAAGGGAAGATCAAACTCCAAAAACAACCCAGTAAAGGAAAAATTACAACACAATTCAACAAATAATGTGACAAAAGCAGACTAAACCCCTACATGTCATTTTCAGCAATTCTGTTTAAAAGTATATACTGTATGACTTACATTTTGAAATCAGGTCAAAGTTACCTAAGTTGCAGCTCGTCCTGATGCATCTCAGTAATCCAGGTAAAAAATCAAAAGGAAAAAAATTGTATAGGTCTTCTGGACGGGTTCTTCTT